GCTCTTGCCCTTCTGTCCTATGGTGCTCCCAGCTCCCCTGCCCGCTCTTGCCCTTCTGTCCTATGGTGCTCCCAGCTCCCCTGCCCGCTCTTGCCCTTCTGTCCTATGGTGCTCCCAGCTCCTCTGCCGTCTGCCTGCTCCTGCCTTTCTGTCCTATAGTGCTCCCAGCTGCTCTACCGTCTGCCCGCTCCTGCCCTTCTGTCCTATGGTGCTCCCAGCTCCTCTGCCATCTGCCTGCTCCTGCCTTTCTGTCCTATGGTGCTCCCAGCTCCTCTGCCGTCTGCCCGCTCCTGCCTTTCAAGACCGACTGCCTATCCACTTCCCTCTGGCTAGGGATCTTCTTCAGTTGCTCAAACTCAGTAGCCTGCCTCTGTCTCGGGACACCTGGTCTCACTCCTTGCTCTCCACTTACCACATTCCCTTGTGGGCTTTCTCATCCCCCAGGCCCTAGAACTCAAATACCCCCTCCATGGAGAGGCAGCTCTTGGCCAGGCCTAAAGTACAGCACGCTGGTCTCACTCCAGCAGCAGGGTGTCCTGCCCTATTTCCCCACCGCAGCAGCCGTGACCGGACACTGCTGTGTGTCCCGTCATGCCACGCTGACAGGGGACCTGGCCTGTCCTGCCCACGGCTGTGTTCTCATGACCTAGTGCAGGACACAGGACATCTGCACACCTCTGAAAGCATCTTGGGAAAGGACAAGATGAGAGAGGAACGTGGGCAGAGTATGGTTTTTGGGGAAGGGACTGGGAGAAGCAGCCTGGTGGAGGGGAGATGCAGCCTGGCAGAGGGGAGAAGCTACTTCTCCACAGAGCAGGTGGGAGGAGGTCAGCTGTGGCTGTCTGCCAGAGCCAGAAACAAGAAAACTACAAGTATCTCCGAATATATAAAAATGTAAGTACAGTGGCAATGATAATCTTTGAACTCATTTCATTCTCAAAGATGAAAGACTAATGCTTTGCGTGGTAAGACTGAGACAATGACCTTCTTGGAGATGGAAATTGGTGTGACATTGTCAGGATAGCAGGTTAGTTATATCGTATCAACCATCAGAGGATCTTCCACCCTGGAACGTTACCTGGGTTATCCCGAGAGGACGTAAGCAGTGGCAGCAGAGTGGCAGTGCTCACCAATGGTGAGAGCTAACATCTACCCAGTGCTTGCTATATGCCAGGCCCTGCTTTAAATGCCCGGTGTAGCACATGTCATTTAACCCTTTCAACTCTCCTTTCAGGTATGCATCCCCAGCACTGTTATTTTATAGACAAAGACAGAAAACGTCTCTGTTCTAGCATGTGCAAGGCAAGACACTTCATGCGATATTTACCAACTTATTTATTGTAACTTTTTTCAAATGGCAGAGAAGATAAAGGAGAAAAGGTGACCCAAAGTTCTCTGATGAATGCTCCTGGCCTCTTTCCATGTACATGTACAGAATTGCTTATAAAAGGGCTATTCAGAAATTATAATATTGCTCAAAATGCTTGCCCTGAACAGCAATATATTGGTTTTTGATATTGATAATATCTTTTAAATGTCCTGTTATTAAGAGGGTGAGAAAACCCTGTGTACTAAACCACAGAAAAGATTTCTCTTCTCATGGGACCCTGCAAGGCCAGGGGCAGATGATACAATGAAGCTGCCACTTGACCACGGAGCACACTAGGTCTTAGCAGCTTGGTGGACTCGCTGGTCATCGAGTAACCTTGCTGCTTCGTCCCTCACTGGACGTCGGCATGCATAAAAATATGGCCCCTTTACAAAATTCTTTCACAGCTTCCAGATTTTACTGGAAACCGTCTTCTTCCCTGAGCCCATTCCAGGCCTCTTCAGCACATGCAGTTTTCCGCGTTCTTCAAGGTGAGCAAGGTGCATTTCAAATGTGTTCATGTACTTGACATGGAAGTAATCAGAAGAAAGCGCAAACGCTCCGCCCAATTCCTAATGTGCCGTCCTGATGAACTGGTTAACGGAGCTGCATGCACAGCCCACGCCATGGCAGCCGTCCACATTCCTTCCTGGGGACTCCCGATCTGTATGACAACCAGAACCATCTATCTCCACTGTCATTATGACTAGGTTTACGAAGCACCTCTCCCCTTAATTTTAGAAACACAAGTCTCCTCTTCTGATTTTTTAGATGTCTAGACCACAAACACCCGTGAATTATTGGGAGAAAAGTTGCATGTATTTAACTCTGAATATATGTCCCCCACATACTTTCCAAGAAGCGGCTTATGCTAGGAAGTCTGGGTAAGGAGCTAAGAGGCTGAGCGCTGTCCAGTGCTGAGAACTGTTCTGAGACTTTTAGATCCACGGAATCCCCTGAACAACACTTGAAGGTATGTATTGTGCTAGCAAAATTAGATATGAAGTGTCAGGCAGGCTGCTAATGCCTGAGGAATTACGGAGTAACAGCCGAGACGGGATCAGTCCTTTGCTTCCCAGGCTGTGCTCTCCGTCACTGTCGGGTTGTCTGTGTGAACCTAACACCTCCTAAGTCAAGAGTCAGGTCACAAAGGCTGGGGACAGGCAGCAAGGACACTGGGACAAAGGAGAAGAAAACCCTTATATTCATGCACACGCTTTGAACTGGACCTAATGAGGCATTCTTAACCATGCAGGAAATCTTGAATATTCATTTTCCTGACTCTGTGGTAAATATTTAAATTGATTGGCAGACAGGCACATCCATTGTTGTCTCCACAGAAACTTCCAACTGCTGCATGTGCTTTCTCCCACTCTATCTACCTCCCACCGACTGTGGGCAAGTCTAACGTCTCTCCGGAAAGTTCCAGTTTAAATGCGTGCCACGGCTCACACATTATCTCACCATAAACTGGTTAATAGTGAGCAATCCAGTTAGGTTCACAGGTGGTACTTATGAGCTCGGGCAGTACGACAGAATCACACTGGCAGCTTTTAAGAAACACAGCCAGGCCCAACCCTAAATTAAATTAGAAATGCGGAGAGTGGTGGGAGATGGGCAACAGTATTTTAAAAATGCCCCTGCAATGACTGTAAAATGAAGTCAGGGTGTGACTAGAGGGGACTATCTCAAGTGCTGCTTTGAGGGGGCAGAGCCAGGGATGCAGACACAGGGAGTGGTCTGGCTCTCCTTTGAATTTTATTTCTCTTATTTTTGTTTGTGGACCTGCATGCCACGGCATGCACACACACACACACACACACACACACACACACACACACACACACACACACGGGTCAGAGTTGTCATTCCAGGGTCAGCTCTGGCTCTCTGCCCCCACCTCACACGGGAATACTGGGACTGCAGATGTGGTGTGCGTTACTACATCAGGTCCATCGGGCTGGGCATTGGGGAGATGGTCCAGTAGGTAAGGTACTTGCCATGCAAACACGAGGTCCTGAGGTCAAATCCTCAGCACTCACGTAGAAAAACAGACGTGGTAGTGTGTGCCTGAGATCCTAGCATGGGAGTTGGGGAGACAGAGATCCCTGGGGCTTGCTGGTCACAGTCTAGCCAAATCTGAGAGCTCTGTGTTCAGAGAATTTGTCTCAAAAAATGGAGGGGAGAGTGATACAGAAAGCTGTCACCAGAGACTCCTGGCCTCCACACACGTGCACATGCGTGAACACACATGCACACACAATGCACACACACAAGTGAGAAACATGACACACCCAGCTAACAAGAGGCAGTGAGAGGGCTAACCGCAGGCTTAGACCTCGAGCCAGGCTGTGACTTCCTCATGGAAGACACTGAATTTGCTCTTTCCAAAATATAGGCTCAGCTGGTGACATATTACTCCCACGGCAGGCTCATAACACTCATGCTGCTCTGGTCCATCAAATGTCCAGCTGGCATAATTTATCGTGGATTGATCCCTTATTTTTCTCTATTTATTCCTGTATCAATGTAAATGTAAATAACGGAATCAATGTAAATAACGGAAAACTTACATTGGAAAATGTTTATCTAGGCCCCAGTGTTTGAACCTCTCCAAAAATTACTTCCATTAAATTATAGCCTGAGGTCAACACTGGAAAGCTCGGCCCCACCCCCACTGTTCTGGCCTGTGGTTCCACTGCTCTGTCATCAGGCACAGGGCCAATCTTCCTGGACCCCAGTTCCTCACCTGGAAAGTGTGGGGTCTGACCGAGAGGATGCAGGTATGTGAGGCTTAGAAATACATAGGACTGGAACAAAAGCCATTTTGTTTCTCAATAAAATGAATGGTATAAGAAGACACAGAAAACAGTTTTATACTTCTAACTTTTAGAAAATTAAACATCAAAATTTTGGGAAATTACTCCACTGTGAACAGACTTAAGGGCAATGATATATTTTGGCTAAATGGCCTGTAGCTAAAAAAGAAATTATGGAAAAAAATTCAACAACTTACCTTTCCATTTCCTCTAGGATGCTTTTGATGTCTTTTCCTAACTTGAATTTTTTCCCAAATGGAATGTCAGAAATAATAACATCGACACTTTGTGACGGCAGCGGTATCTCTGCAGTGGAGAAACCAGAGACCCTGGTTATGGCAAGGTCAGGCACTGACCACCTCAACAAGACACTGACCTACTCAATAAAATGCAGAGTTTCTATATTGTTTCTACGAGGTGACAAGACTCAGGATGCTTTGGAGATTGAAGACAAAGGGCAGCAACACTATTGTGTAATCCTCCCTGGTCTGGCAGGGTCACTGGCAGGAGGAAACTGCAGAGGGCAGTGTTGTAGAATATTATTTTAAGGTGTGTTACTTTTGTTTATGTTGAATTTGTTTAACTCTGTGAAGCTACTGCGTTACTAAAACACCTGATGGTCTAATACAGAGCTGAATGGCCAATAGCAAGGCAGGAGAGAGAAATAGGTGGGGCTGCCAGGCAGAGAGGACATATAGAAGAAGAAATCTAGGAGAAAAAGAAGTAGCCAGAGAAGGAGGAGGACACCAGGAGTCAGCCACCAGGCTATACAACTAGCAATGGAGTAAGAGCAAGATTTCCAGAAATAGAGAAAAGGAAAAGCCCAGAAGCAACATACAGACGGGATAATTTAAAAAAAGCTGGCTAGAAACAAGTCAAGCTAAGGCCGGGCATTCATAAGTAAGAATAAGACTCCCTGTGTTTATTATTGGGTGGTAGGCCCCCTCAAAAGAGTAAAAGAAAAACCAACAATAGCAGAGTCTTTTAAAGATTGCCTTTTTATTTTCACAAAGGTCTTTAAATCCTTGTAAACAGTCCTCTCTCCTCTTCCCCTCCTCTAGCCCACAGCATCAGCATCTACAGGAAGTACCACTGACTGCGCGTTCACCTAAGGGCTCTGCAACACAGACCGTGGGCTAGCACCCAACTCCCAAGACAGCACACAGTGAAACCCTGTAAATTAAGTGCTCCGAACTGCCTGTGGACGGATCACCTGTAACTAAGGACAAGGCCCTAAAACAGGAACAGCAAAAGCAAACAAGCAAACGAGCGAACAATTCTGTTTTACATCTCTGGAGGATGATTCAAGAATGGGAAAGAAGTTTAGTTTGAAAACTGGGTCAACAAAAACAAAAGAACTACTTGGGTTCTCCTTTGTTTTCTGGCAGAAAGAAGGGTTAAAAAGACTTAAAACACAGGGCTGTGGAGCTAAGATTCTCTCTTGTAGGCTTTACGGGCCCTCAGGTATGCTTTCACTATAAACACAGGATTAGTTGGTGGAGGGCTTTTCTAGAAGTGGGCACTCTCTCTCTTCTATTTTTCCCTCGTATTTTCTGTGGCTTCTCATCCCCTCCCTTGTCCAGGCCTGGGACACTCATGTTCTGTCAGAAACAACCATTCTCTTAGTTGTTTAAAGTTAGTTCTATACTATAATGAACTCAATCATCTTGCCCTGACGTCCTCTGTTCCTCAGCTGATTCATCTTTTCTATGTCTGCATTTTATGAAACACCTCCCAGGCCGCAAAGAGCTAATTAGTGAAATGTTCCCTGAACATTTTACATTGGAAAGTGTCCGTTGTAAAACACTATTGTGGATGGTATATTTTTGGGTCAGTCTGCTTCAGACACTGTGAAACAGACACTACTACCCTAGAAACTGTTGTAACTTGTCTCTTTCCATTGTGGCCAAAAACAATGAAGATGCTTATTTAGCTGGCTCATCACCTTCCCCGGTCAGTCAGCTGCTGCTGGGTCTTCTTCTATGCTCATAACTCTTTTGTTTATATCAGCTAAGTATAGGGAGGCACAAATAATGTCATCCAATTTTTTGCTTTGTTTATGTGTAGCCCTGGCTGTCCTGGAACTCACTTGTAGACTAGGCTGGCCTCAAACTCAGAGATCCGCCTGCCTCTGCTCCCAAGCGCTGGGATTAAAGGCATGCACCGCCGCCGCCACCACCAGCCAGCAGCTCGCCTGTTTTTATGTGTGCCACACGCACATAGTGCCTTTGGAGGACAGAAGTGGCTGCTGCATTCTGAGACTGGAGTCACAAACAGTTGTGAGCTGCCATGTGGGTGCTGGGACTCAAACCTGGGAAGAGTAGCCAGTGCTTTTAATAACTGAGCCATCTCTCCAGCCCCTAAAAGTAGTCTTAAACATGTAAAATGTACTTTGGCAACTGGGTTGGGATACCATTTAATTTATAGTTCAGTAAGGAATATTGTTGAAAAGGAGAATGCTAAAATTAATACACTTTGGAAATACCCATTATCCTACCTGATGGTGGGCATAAAAACAACACATATTTGTGCATATTAAGGCTTTAATCAAACCTTAAAAATCTGAACACTGCCGGGGGTGTGGTGACACATGCATTTAATCCCAGCACTTGGGAGGCAGAGGGAGGTGGATCTCTGTGAATAGCCAGCCTGGTCTACAAAGTGAGATCCAGGACAGCTAAGGTTGGTACATAAATAAACCAACTTGGAAAAAAAATCTGAACACTAAAATAATTGTAGTATTCACTCATCTATCAATCAGCTTCATAGACACATTTGTTTCTGATCCTGTGTTATCAATGGCTTAAAGCTGTTTTTCATAAAACTGCCTGTGAGCTTCAACGTTCTCTCATATTTAAAAACTTCTTGGGCTACATTTACATTTGAGAACATATTTTGTCTAGAGGTGTTCAAGTCAAAATGGGTCTCCGAGCAAAGTCCACTAAGTGCAGGCTACTGTCAATTCTACCTCAGGTGGCAAACGGGAACATTCTGGCCCTCAGAGTCCTTCCACTCAGTGACTCCAGCAAACATACAATTCAGATAAGTCGTCTCTATTGTTCTTATTTCACCAAGTGTAGACTCAACAGAATGAGAACCGCAGTTCCATTCCATTCTATTCTAGAATATACTCATGTCCAACTAAAACCAAGAAAGTCATCAGAAGATTCTTGCCACAAGACATCCGAGGTATATTTACAGGATGAATTTTACCTTGTGCAGTATTGAACTCAATTATCTGTTCATGCTTGCCTGCTTGCTAACTTTATTTTTAATAACAAATCATCAAAAAAAATCATAATTGTAAGAACACTTGCAATTGAATAGTGAACAACATGAATTTAGAAAACCTCCCATTCCACGTCAACGAAAAGCCATGCTTTACACACACAGTGATGGTAAATGCATTTTCTTCAGCTGCATGAGACAAACATCTGGCTTTGATCCACAAATGTCATTAAAATCACCCCTAAGCCTTGAAGTAAATGCTAGGTGGTTCTATTATTAGACTTGTCTCACTCGGTCACAGTGGACAGGAAATGTCAGCAGACTTCATTCACGTTACGTGCTCATCATTACCTTTCTAGGGAAGTACAGACTTGGTACTTACCGTCCTGTTAAATCCACACTCTCATGAACTTACTGGCGCTAAGAGTTCATTACAAAATAGAAACGTTACCAAACAGTTCAATGACAGCATGCAAACACTTTCGAGGTGAGTTCTCACCCATTTTCTGTTATACTTCACGTTCACCTAGCCCTACCATGTCCTGTGTTTGCTGGTTAACTCCGCAGAGGTAACACCAGCCAGGCCAGCAGGATGGGAAATAAGTGTTAGAGGAAAATACACCAGCATGAAGGGAAATGAAACGACATGACCTTAAAAACAGCTCATTAAACTCCTGCACAAGGGTGGCCAAAGAATCTTGTTATAATGAAGCCTGTTGATGAAGTGATGAGTGACGAGCTGTGGAATGTCTGTCGGGATGCAATGTAAACATTCCCTTTACTTAGTCACCTTGTAATTACATCACAAATGTGTTTCTTTTGCTCAGATCTGTGTGTTACAGCTTCTACCATATGTTAAGAATGTGTATATGTCAACAGATGAAAATGCCTAGTCAGTGATGAGTTCTCACTTCCCAAGATAAGTGGTGGCACATTATTCTATTCCACATTTTCACGATGATTAAAACTCAGGAACAAATTCACAGAATTTCTTCATATAAAGTGATCATCTTGGTTCACACTAGCAGAGGGTTCCAACACAAAGTGAATGCTAACAAGAAGCAGAAATAGTAGCCATTAAAACCAATAAAAAGTAAATGATAAAGTGGGGTCAATGAGACGGCTCAGTGGGTAAAGGAGCTTGCTGCCAGGCCTGATGACCACATGGAAGGAGAGAAGTGACTCCTGTAAGTTGTCCTCTGACTTTACATGCGTCAAATGAAGCTCACGTGCGCGTACACACACACACACACACACACACACACACACACACACACACACACACACAAAAATAAATAAACATAATGCAATAAAGAGAATAAGATGATGGTTTTATATAAATAAAACTCACTCTATTTAAGAACAGCAGAGGTACCTTTCCTTGTCGTTAAAGTGAAACTTTATGGAAAACATCTCCAAAGTGAATCAGCAGTGAAGCTGGGAATGTGGCAGAGGTCCGGTGGGCAATCATCGTGCCCTCCCTCAAGCCTGCAAGGTGCCGTGGAGAAAGCAAACAGGTTCAAAAACCCTGGCTCTGAGACAGCTTAGGACGCTGTTCTCTTAAAGGTCTCAGAAGAGCCTCCTTAAAGAACTGGACTCACAAGAACTTGATCTGGTCATCTCTCATTACTCTAGAAATCTGGGCCTTAAGATTGAGCAGTGGCCACTGCTGAAAACAACCACGAGCGTGCGATCAGCCTGAATCTTCCTGGAGGCTGCTCTCTGGAGTTTCTAATGCCAAACTGATGCTAACATTTTCCCTGTGGTGCTCATTTCTGCTGCTCTCTCTCTCCAGAAGAGAAACTATAGAAACACACTCTGTTCTTTTGGATTATAGGTTCAATATTTACTCATAGCCAAGAGCAGGATACTTCTTTCTCAGCAGAATGAAATGAGCTGCTTTTTGAAAAGGACAGTGTGACACCAAGTAACCAAGCAGGCAAGGAGCTCAGAGATGCTGCTTAAACAGCACCAGGCCACAGAGGTTAGGGACATAGGACAGGGACTCTGCATGCTTGGTACCTGCTCCCATCTGCCACTGCTGATTCCCCATCAGCGAAGAGGGGGTGATGGTTACATCCATCCTGGTTTGCCCAGAGCTCCCTGAGTTCTTGAAAGTATGGGTTTAGCACCCATGGTGGGTGACTAACCCACTTCTCTGTGTCTAAGCAAAGGATCGGCTTATTCACTTCATACAGCTCAGGTGAAAGAAATTCAAATACTTTCTTCTTCCTCTAATACTCTATGCTCTGGTTGCATCCTTTCATTCCAGACCATGAGAAGGCAATGAATCAGTTGTAATAAACACATCTTCAAAAAGTGTGCTCCAGCTTAAGTGCTATGGAAACTACATAAATACCACTTCCCAGTTAGGAATGTTTTGGGAAAAAAAAAATCAAACAACTGGAGTAGTGGAAGTAACGTGCATGTTAGCCCCAGAGCTCCCACAGGGCACCAGCAACCACACCCGTGCACCAACGCAGTGGCTCTTGTTTTGTTTCTTACGCTCTTACCTGTGACAGACACTTTAAGTAAGTCAATCTTGTCCGCGAGGCCCGCGGCCTTCAGGTTGTCACACGCACCACGTAACTGCGCGTCACTGACATCAGCACCCATGTAATATACATCCTGTGAGAAAGAAGTCCATATTTTAAGTAGAAATAATTCCATTAAGTATTTCAGCAATTAAGAAAATCTACTTGCATTTTATTACAGTGCAAAAGGAAAGTTAACGGAGTCTTAATTTCAAGTTAAAACAGTTTAAAGTGCTTTTTAAAAATACACAATAAATAGTAAATTTTTAAGTCTGTTAAATATTTTACCATTATAGATGCCTAAGGAGTTTGGAAATTAGTAGAATATAGGTATGAATAATTATTATAATCCTGTCATATTTTCTTAACTTCTTCAAAGCATTTAAAGAAATAATATAGAAATTTAATTAACTCTTCAAAATCTATTATAAGTATAGTAAACAGGAACTCATATAATTACAACAATCCTAAAGCAGACTATCTGCTCGTAAAATATTGGTAAGTGTCTTAATGGTTAAAACAGACACATCACTTGATTTAGAGCAAACCTTGAACTTACTGGCCACTCTTCAGCAGCTTCCACAAGTGTGGTCCCAAGGCCACACATGGGGTCCAGAACCAGCGCCCCGGCCTAATCAGAGAAATAGAAATTGCTGTTACGACGTCTGCTGCAATAGGCCCTCTGTAAAAGAGGCCTAAAGCTGGGGAGTCATTAGCTCCAGAGTCAAGATTCCTTCTCACATTGTAGGAGAGGCTGGGCAGCTCAAGTCCCAAGGCATCTGTCACAGTTCGAGGCAGGAGGGAGCCCGGTGTGGTCAAGGGACAGCGAGTGGGGGGTGGGGGTGGGGTGCTGTGGGATGTGCTGTATGGCAAATGTGTTGCTCTGATTGGTTAGTAAATAAAACACTGATTGGCCAGTAGTCAGGCAGGAGGAAGTATAGGCGGGACAAGGAGGAGAATAATTCTGGGAAGTGCAAGGCTGAGTCAGAGACACTGCCAGCCGCCACCATGACAAGCCGCATGTGAAGATTCCAGTAAGCCACGAGCCACGTGGCAAGGTATAGATTTATGGAAATGGGTTAATTTAAGCTATAAGAACAGTTGGCAAGAAGCCTGCCACGGCCATACAGTTTGTAAGCAATATAAGTCTCTGTGTTTACTTGGTTGGGTCTGAGCGGCTGTGGGACTGGCGGGTGAGAGAGATTTGTCCTAACTGTGGGCCAGGCAGGAAAACTCTAGCTACAGGTGGGGGCGGGCCAAAGGCGATGGAAACACTGGAGATGCAGCCAGGAAATGACAACACTATGATCCCCAGACCTGAGAGGTCTACAACAACACGCAGCCCATACTACATGCCCACCCAACACAGGGCACCAGGGATTTTACTCTTTCCGGAAGTCAGGCTGATGAAATGGTCACCATTTGAATGGCGGAATACCATCACCATGGCAGAGGGAGGGCATGCAGGACATGTTGTGCACTGCTCGGAATGGCATAATCTGGATGTCATTCACACACGACTTCCTACAGCATCAGGCTAGCGATACCATGCAAGTCACATGGTTCACAAAGCTTCAAGGAGTCAGGACAATGTAATACTATTGGGAGGGAAATAGAAATTTGGAGAAAAAAACTAATTATTCCCACTGTGGAGATAACATCCTGTCAGAGCTTGTCAGTACCCAAAGGATTGTGGTTCTATTGATGAAGGACAGGCAACTATTCTAGGGTGTGAATAAAGAAGTTACATGGTATTGCAGTTGGAGGGGATTGCACCGGATGCTCTGGAGCATGAACCACAGGAGGCTGGTCATGGAGTCCAGGCAGGAGAGATTAAGAGTCCTACTGGTAGGAGTTGTTGGATTCTGGGTGTAATTTAAAAGGTGGAGCCAGAAGGAAGGTTTGGATGTGGACTATTGAAGAAACCCAACAGGCCGGAATGACTAAACCCTTTGCCTGACCAGCAAGGGAAGAGCTGTCTTACTGTGGGGACAGAGGGAGAGCTGAAGGAGTGGGAAACTGTTCTGACACGCTAACTCTGAGACACCTTAGATCTCTGGGTATGGACGATGAGTGAGTCACTGGAGAGACGACTCGAGAGCTCAGGTTCAGGTTACAGATATAAATTTGGGTACAGTCAACAGGAGTCAGCTGCTAAGCGGTATTCAAAGCCTAAGACTGGGTGAGATCACTTGGGAAGTAAGCGGAGTTACAAAGGGACGTCTATGCGTCAGGCCTGGGCGCTCTACACGTAGACGCTCAGAAGACGAGGCTCGGTCATGCTGACTGAGAGGTGGTGCCCGGGCTTCAGGAGGCGAGCTAGTGTGGTGCCTAATCAGCAGAGAAGATGTGTTTCAGGGAGAGTGGCCACGTCATCAAATGTTAAAAAGATGATGGGCAGGTTCAGTGAGGTCTTCAGGAAAGCGGTGGGTGACAGAGAATGGGAAGGCAGGAACCGGAGGCCGCGTATATCAGCTATTTCCAGCAGTGATTTTTTGGTAAAAGGAAGTAGAGAAAGGAAGTTGGACTTGTTACAGGATTTTTTTTTCCAGGTTGCAAGCTATTAGAGAAAAGGTCAGGGTGATACCAATGGCTCCTTAGAGTACATAGGTATGAAAGAGGAAGCTGAATCCAGAACCTGGTTCTAGGGTGGAACAGACAATTCACTACTGAAGGACAAAAGGCAATGTTACGAGGGCGCAGACTCACACGAAGAGAACACACTTGTTCTGGACTAGTATTCAAGTCAAATAAGAAGGAAGAGAAATGAAAATGTAGAACCCAGAACAACTACTGTAAGAGAGCAGAGTCCTTCCTTTTTAAGAAACAGGGCCTTGCAAAGTGACCAAGGCTGTTCTCAAATTCTTGGGCTCTTATGCTCCTGCCTCAGTTTCCCAAGTAGCTGAGACTATAGGTACACATTTCCACACCTGGAGAAGAGCAGGATTCTTGAAACAGAGACATCCAGAAGGCACACCCTTCTGGATTGGACATGGCCTAGGATGTGGTAGGGTAGATGATTAGAGGGAGGGAGCCAATCAACCAAGAGGCAGGCCGTCGCCTGGCTATGGGGTCATTAAGAAGCAGACAGGACTAAAGGCTCATACTCTAACGGGAACGGCAGGGAGAGAGGTCTGTACCGGACTGGCGTCATCTAATACCACGCACTTCGAGGACAGAAGAAAGGAAGGAAAAACCAGCGAGGAGCAAGCAGAACACCTACCCCACCTCAGGTTGAGAGGCACTTGGATGTGGGAGGTAAACATCCTTCACTGGACATGTCTACAGAGGAAGCGGGGTCCCCAGGGCACAGCCAGGTGTCAGAACCAGATGGTACCTGAAGGAAAGAAGTGAAATATCCTTCAGGAAAGGAAAACTGTGTCCTGGCACCAAACATAAGTCTACATCAAGACAAAGGTAAGATTTCAGGTTTGTATGTGGTCACATGAATTTATATTTAAATACAAACGTTGGAACTACTGAAAGTACAGAAAAGAACAGATGGTAATCTTGTCTCTAGCCTTATACCAAAATAAATTGGGATAAAGGTTTAAAGAATAGCATGGGAGCTGGACTCTTGGCTAAGCTGATGCTCAAACCTCAAGGCTCAGATGCTCAGAGAAGCCTGGGCTCCCATTGAGATCCTCAAGAAGGAACTGGTAGGGGCCACCTTGCCTGGGCTGAGTAATAAGAAAGCAGTGGAACCAGCCTTCAGAGAGCTACAGGGCTGGAAGGAGACCAGAGGCCAGAGGCCCTTCTGTCAGGCATCTCCGGGCTGACAGAGTCTCTCCACACTGTTGATACAGAGGCCTGTTTGCCTCTTACCATTTATTTGAGGCATTCAAATATCCATCGATCCCACCCTTTGGCCTTAGTAGGCAAGCAAAACACTGGCTCATCTATCCTATCTGCCCCAGAAAGCACAGATGTTAACTACTGGAGGGGCGAGGATTTGAGACCTCACAGATGCTCACTCATGACAACAAAAACCATAACTTCTAAGTTAGAAAAATCAACACATGAATTAAGGGAGATCATATCTGTTATTCTTGGAACTTAGAAGAACTAGTCAAATGGAGAGGTCAAATATGAAGGGATGAAAACACATGGGAAGGATGAATGACTTGGAGAATGGAGCCAGCAAGTTAATGATCTCTTGGGAATTTCAGAGGTCACAAACAAAGAGTTTAAAGTTAAGTTCACAAGACAGCCACGGCGATGATAATAAATAATGGAAGGAGTGTGTAGCTGGGGGGGGAACAATAGTAATTATTATGAAATAGTACCAATTTCATATGCCAGAATAACTTTAAATAACAACTAATGCAACCTGTGCATTTTCTAGGACAGCCACACTAGTTTAATTGCTTTATTAATGCTAATTCACTTAGTCCCGATAAGAACCTACTCTAACCATCATGGCAGAGACATTCTAAGGAGAGTCTCTCCTCTCACTCCTGAGAAAATGGACCCCAGGAAATTTCCCTTGGAACCTTACGCTGGGAGAAAGAAACGCCAGAGGAATTTGTCTCTGAAAGATTTCACGAAGTTCTAGCAGTTGTTACATCACTGTGCAAGAGAGAAGGGGGCTGAGACAATGGTGACGGATGGTGGGCAGGACAACAGCGAGACCAGGACTGGTTAGTTATGCATTCAGCCCTTGATGTAAACCTAAATACTTTGTCAGGACCTCAGAGATGCACTTGTAGGTAGTAGGTCACCGGACATGTTTTGTTAGCTTCTGTCCTAATGTGGCCTCATTGAATACTCCTTTTTTGCTATTCATGATTACTTGCTTTTTTTTAAATTAAAAATTATTTTATTTCATGTGTGTGAGTGTTTTGCCTGTGCACTGTGTGTGTGCCTAAGGAAGCCAGAAGAGATTTGGATGCTGGGAACTGGAGTTACAGATGGCTGTGATCCATCATGTGGGTGCTGGGCACTGAATCCCAGTCCTCTGCAAGAGCAGCCACTGCTTTTAGCCA